CACACACACACACACACACACACACAGTGGGAGGAAACACCTGGGCGCTCCGAGCTGTATTGATGATGTCACAGAGCATTCCTGAATCTAAATACGGACCGTGATGATGTCACCTGATCAAACTGAATGGAATTGTTTTCATTTATGATTCAAGTGTTTCACGATGAGGAAATTAACGATCAGAACTCACAGAAATGTTAATATTTACACAAAGAAATGCAATAAAAATGTTTACAAAAACATTTAAATGATTTTTGTTTAACATGAACGACCCTGGACCCAACTGTTGATTGGTTTTCTATAATTATTCGACTGTTTGTCACAGTTGGATCCAGGTAGGAAACTTGAGTAAAACCTTCAGATTTAGCAATGAAATAAACAAAGTAAAGAAAGGAGTGACAGGGCAGGAACATACATGAAACTCCAGGGTGATGGAGGAGGAAAAGTCAGGGACTGAAGCTCTAAACTGGGAGAAGGAGCTTCAGAACAAGTGCCGACTGGGTGAGTGGAGACAGGTGAGACTGATGAGCACAGGAAACAGGTGTGAGTGGGAGGAGCTAAACTGACAGGAGAAATGAACTGGTGGTACAGGAGGAACAGGACTGAACAGGAAAACCAAACAAAAATAAACCAACAATAAACACAAAAATAACACACAGTTTACACAAAACAAAAATGTTCATCAGACAGACGCTGAGCGCGGAAAAACATTAAATATAAAATGTATTTTTTTCAATTACTTGGTCCTGAGATAATGAAGCTAACAGATACAGTATTTGTTGTAAAACCATTAATCACTAAACTGTTTAAGGTGTTTGGCTGCTCGTCTCTGTGATCTTGTTCTTTCGGTCACTACCCAAAACTCATGACCATAGATGAGGGTAGACCAACGGTAAACTGAGAGCTTCACCTTCTGGCTCAGCTCCCGCTTCACCACGACGGACCGGTACAGCGCCTGCATCACTGCAGATACAGCACCAATCCGCCTGTCGATCTCCTGCTCCATTCTTCCCTCATTCGTAAACAAAACGGAGTCCAACTCTCACCAGAAACGAGTCCGACTTACTACCGGCAACGTGGACCGAGCTCTGGCACCGGTCGTACAGGGACCTAACAGCCCGTATCGACGGGCCTGGTACCCCACACTCCCAGAGTACCCCCCACAGGAGTCCCCGAGGGACACGGTCGAACACCTTCTCCAAGTTCACAACGCTTTTATCCAGTGGTGGGCACAGTTCCCCTAAAACACTAAAGCACTAATAGGGGAACTAATTTTCTTTTTTTTCCATCTTTTGCTGTTTTCTTAATTTATTAGTGGATTAGCACCTGCTAAATTTATAAGCACTAATTTATTTCTTTAAATATTATTGATCAACTTGTCAACAGCTGAGAGTGAAAGCTGTCAGACGTGTTGGTCATACGTGTGTCACGTAGATCAGTGGTTTTCAAACTTTTTTGCTTCCAGTCCACAAAATAACAGTTGCAGACACACGTGACCCCAGATATTACTTGTTTACGTATGCAAACTTTGCTAATAACTCAGGTAACATGGTGAATAATGATACTCATTTTTATTCATTTATGATTATTTTTAAAAAATTGCAATAATCATGATGAAAATATTCCAGTAGCATTTTTATGCATTTAAACTGATGTCTGGAAGTCATCTGAGGACCCTCACTTGATATTTTGTGACCCACAAAGAGGTCTTGACCCCCAACTTTGGGAACCAATACACGAGATGAAATATTAAAAATATTGTGCACACAGAAAATGTTTTCTCATGTTGATTCTGAGGAATGTTCCATGGGTCATCTGGGATTTTAGTGCTTTACAATTAGGGGACCTAAATATTAAAGCTAGTGCTTTAGGATTAGTGCAACAAATTTTTAGATTAGTGCTGCCCACCACTGCTTTCATCTGTAATGGCTTTTTTAAAAAGTGTTCATTACGTTTACTTTTATACTTTAAGTAGTTTTAAAACCAGTGCTTTTATACTTTTACTAGAGTAAAAGACTTGAGTTGATACTTCTACTTTCAAAAATGTTTTTTTAAACCCTAGTATCTATACTTCTACTTAAGTAATGAAATGTGAATGCTTTTGACATCTCTGGCAAACAGCAGCAGTAGCAGCCAGCTGTAGCATATGTTTTGAAGACCCCAAAGCCTGCTTTAGAAGTGAATCAGCTCAGAACTGTTTAACAAGTAAAAAAGCAGAGAAAACAACTCAAATCCTCACATTTAAAGGTGATTCATGTTATAAATGTCTGCATTGTGGTCAGTTTCCTGTTTGGTGGTTATTTTTAGTTGAATCTTCATAAAATCTCCAGTCTGTAAAGGAAGTGCCACAGCTAGCTGCCGCTGTTTGTGCTCACCAACTATAAAATGTCCTAAATAACCAGGGCTGCCAAGATTTTAGTGACACCTCTTGTGCAGTTTTCTAAATCACACTGCCAGTTTACAGACATCCACACACCAAACTAAATAGTTTTGAAACCAGATTTTCCAAAATAAAATAACTAACAATGTAATTTGAAGCAGAATACCAGAGGTTTACCTCCGCACCTGGCTGTGGACTGAAGCAGTTCTAGGGGGAGGTGTGTGTGTGTGTGTGTGTGTGGGGGGGGGGGGGGGGTCCAGGGGTACACTCCCTGAAATTTAGTAAAATTTGAAGAGTATTTGCTGATTATTGGGATTAATAAAACAACAAAAAGTTAGTATTTTATGAAGGTAGAACACTGAATTGTTTTTTCATCCTCCATTTGTGGCGCCCCCTGGTGGTGCTGTTAGCATTTGCATGCACAGCCTGTGCCAAGGGCCAACTTAACCATGAATGTGTCACGAATTTTTTTTTTTATCATTTTTTCCGTTGTTCGTATTCTTTTAGTCTTTCATTGTTTAGTGTTTTACAGCAATTTGATCCTTTTGGGGGAGTTTTAAAGGACTTTATAATTAAATTGAAATGCTTTTTGTTTGTTTTTTCCAAAGTAAATAGAGGAATAAACCAAGTTTATTCAGTCACAACCCACTTTCAGACACCGAGTGGGGCCAGAATGTAGAGTCAACATCTGTGGTTTATTTTTATTTGCTGATCATCTTTCTCTGGATGAATGCCAGCCAGAATTACAGCAACAGGTGGGAGATTCCTGCTGCGTCACAAAGGGCTACAGAAGGAGAACATAGATTGAAAAAAAAGGAATATGCATCATAAAATACCATAGTGAGGGAATATTTGCTGTCCAAGCAGCTGAGATTCAATCATTTAAGATGCAATAATAACAACAATCTAATCATAGTGGAGTCCTGACTGCCTTTATTCTCTGAAAAGGCCTGCAGAGGGAACCAGACTCTCAGCAGCTGAAAACAGTTTTAGTGGATAAAACAACAATCAGCTCAGAGTTTAAATTTACTGGGCCGATTCTTGGATTTATTTTCACCAGTGAGGTGGTCCAACCCCAGCAAAACCAGAAAACTAAGACAACACCGAGGTCACACCATGACTTTATGAACCTGAGAAATGTGTTTTTATTAGAATCATGATTTTTCTCACAATTATGGTTTCTTTAGCAAATCTCTGTTGTTTGACTCAGCTTTCATGTATTATTTGAAAACACAAGACAGGGGTCAGAATAGAACTGCATACAAATCAGGTTTCACGCAGGACACGGGCTGTAAAATATAATCCCACCTTCCAGATGAGGTCATTTCAGGCCGACCTTGAAATGACACGAGGACAGTCATAAAAACGCTCCACGCTGGGAGAATGATGTCATTTCCAGTTTTAGGGAAATCATAAACTTGTACATTGTTTTAAAATAAACAGTGAAAATGTGTATGTCAGTGAAAAGCCCTCATTATGAGCTGATAAGATTTTACTGCACCTGTCAGAGCAAAAACACAGGATTTACTGTGGATCATAAAGAGGCCGGAGTTTATTACCAAAGCTGTACCTAATTAATGTACTTTTTATTCCTCTTTTGTTCAAACCACCTGAAACATACAAACATAAAACAACACAACACACTGAAAAGGACTAGTTCCCATGACATATTCTGATTTCCACATCTATAAATCTAAAATGTGTGTTTTTGCGTCCAAGGTCAGAATAACAGTCCTCTAAATGAGACCACGCAGTCAGGAAATCCTCCAGGTTCTCATGACCCGCGGAAGGTCCTCACATGAAAACTGGATCCGTCACTCAGGGTGGAGAGAGGACCCCTGCAGGGTTTTTACAGTTCTTTAATGCCAACAATCACTCATCATTTATTCAAGTTCCCCAAGAAAAACAAATTCCCAGGTGTGGAAACGAACATGTGGGAAATGTTCAGTGTTCATGAGGACTAGAAGAAGGAGGAGAAACAGGTGTCAGATTGCTGAGGATGCCTGGAATATAATCTGAATATTTATTTGTGTGTTTGACCTTATAGTTGCTTCAGTCACTCCATTTTTTGTATTTTTTTGATCTAATATAGATACTTTCTGAGTAAATCTGCCATCAAAATGAACCATCTCACTGAGTGATTCTTGTGTTTCTTAATCTTTTACATGTCGGAACTTTGAACGTCTAAATGCAACATT